GTTACCATCATGTATTTTGATTCAAACTGTACCTTTACCAACAACTTTACAAAAGGTGTTGTTGGCCATTTAGACAACTCCACTTTCAGTTGATTCATATGTTGAATTGCTAATAGACACATGATACGAACAAACTGAATCTAAAATCCACTCATTGTTAGACCTTAAATTATTTTCTACTGCTAAGAAAATGGTTCCATTATTCTTATAAGCTACAACACTAGCCTCAGCAATTTCATTGCATTTCAAATCACTTTTCTCTTTATGCCTTTCTTTATTCTTTAATTTAGTGCATTCAGAGATAATATGGCCCGTCTTGCGATAGTATCTGCATACCAAATTTTTATGTGTGGATCTACCCGGAACCAATAAGGCATCTATTTTGACTCCCTTTAGTTTCGCCAATAATATCCCTACCAATATGTTCTTTGGATTCAAGGATAGAATTTATTTCTTTGTAAGAATTTGTATCTTTACCATAAAACATTATGTGTCTAAAATGCTTAAATGACTGGAATAGGGAACATAACAATAATAGGGCTTGGTCCTCATTCTCAATTGTAACGTCTATATTTGTAAAATTCATAATAATAGAATCAAATTTATCATGATGTAAAATTGTAGACGTACCTTCGGACATGTGAAGCATATATAAACTTTGCTTCAAGTGGAGTCGATTCACTATCGTCTTCTTTATATACAAAAGCTTCGAATTATCCCACAAGTCTTTGGTCGTCTCATTACAAGAAATTTCGCCTTTTGTGACAATATTTTCAATGACAATGAAAAACTTGTCATAGTTGACCCAATTTAGTGATGACTTTTGATGTCGTCACAGATGAACTCACATAGACTTATCATGAGTGACAACATGGGATTTGTCGTCACAACATTGGTGGTGCACAACCTGTTGGTGTGGCAGAAAATTACTTTTGTGACGATCTGGAAAAATGTTGTCACTAAAATGGTCCATCTAGTGACAACTTCCAACATCGTCACTATCACTCTATCGATTCAGAGGTAGTGACAACAATTAGTCGTCACTGTCTAAAGTACTTGCTCCTAGATCACTTTCATTAATTCTAATGTGTCACCCTAACTTTTATGATCTAGCCCCAAATGTGATAAAAAAATTCCATTAATTCTATTATGACACCTTAACTTTTGCAATTTAGCCCCATATGTAGTACAATAATTTCTTTAATTCTACTATTACACCCTAAATTTTGCAATTTAGCCCCCTATGTAATTTGCCAATTTCACTAAGTCAACAATCGCACTTTGACTTTTGCAATGTATCCCCGTATGTAATATACGAATTTTATTAATTCTACCATGGCACCCTATGGTGTTGCAATTTAGCCTTTTTTTTATTAGCAAAATATAGATACCTTAATAAACTATGTATACATGTTTTATTAAATCATGGTATGAGTGTCAATTTTAGGGATGTTGATGACTATAAGAGACTGTATGACAATTCCTAACACACTAGTACAAGAGCTTTAAGTTTTGGATTCTGCAACAACGATGACAGTAAAAAAAAAGACCATTGACTTTGATATAACGGACTATAACAGACTATTGATTTTGCACTACAAGTAGGGGTGGGCGCGGGTCGGGTACCCGCCCCATTCACCATTTGGTTGACCCGACCCGCACCTTGCGGGTCAGCCATTTTCTGACCCTTATCCGCTCCGCATATCAGCGGGTACCCTATAACGGGTACCCACTGAGATAGGGTCGGATCAGCGAGTACCCGCCCCGCCCCGTTTATCATTTAATTTTTTTAAAAAAAATGATTTATACCAATTTAATTTTATATTTTACACATTCATCTAAGATTTAATAATTTTTTTTCTAAAAAAGGTTTCCCACCAAGAAACAAGCATATGAAGAGAATATAAGATAAAGGAAAAAAATTAAAAGAATTCAAAATCAATAAAAGTTTGAAATAAGTAGCACAATTTTTAATATCTATATTTCACATTAATTAAACTTTTTTCTATAAAATATAAGATCATGGTCTTTACAAATGAATCTTGTAAATAAACTATAGTCTCTCATATTTGTAATGCAATTTGTTCAATAAAATTACTTATTTAGTTCTAACTTATTATTTTATAGTGTGTGTATAAAAATAAAAAATATATATATACGGGGCGGATCGGGTACCCGCGGGTTTTTAATTATGTGACCCTAACCCGCCCCGCATCTTAGCGGATACCCGACCCTATTTTGACCCGATCAAATAATAAAAATCGAATATCCTAATTTTCGGATCGGATATGACAGATTTTCGGTTTAGCGGATAATTTTACCCACCCCTAACTACAAGGAATGGAAGAAAAAAAGACCACTGGTACCGGTTGGACTTTTGTGGAGGAGCAGCATGTTTGCTATTTGGCTCAATGGAGCTTTTTGAGGTTTTAGGAGAAAGTGGAGAAAGATTGTTATGTTCGTGAAATTTATTGGGATTCGTCCAGACTTTTGTGAATTTTGACCTATTGAAATTTGTTGAGACTTTTATAATTTTTGCCCATTGGGACTTTTGTGAATTTGGCCCATTTGGGGCCTTCCAATTTTGGCCTGTTAGAACTCATTGGGCCATATGTGATCTTGACTGGTTAGGGTCTACCAGAACTTTTGTAGAAAAAGTGAATTGATTGTACTATTTGTCGATATTGGGTACACATTAAAGTGAAGATTTGTTGAGTTTATATTTGTATTATATCAAAAGTTTTAAAATGGTTATAAATATACTGGATTTAACTAAATTCAAGCGTGTGAATGCACCACCCAAGAAAAGTTTCTGGAGGAGGCAAGACCACAGTCTAAGAAAGGTTTTGGATAAGCACTAAACCAAGAGAGCAAGTTAGAGGGTTATTTTGGACATTTGGGCCGTTAAACATTTTGTAATGTTTTAGACACTCCTCTGTTTTTTGAAATAAGTGCTTTTGATTCTAGTAACACTTTCCTAGAGATTGTAGCCTATTCCTTATGGTGATAGTATGTTACTCCTTTGCTCATTGGCATATATCAATTTGATCGAACCAAGTTAATCTGGTGTCTCTCTACTTGTTTAATTGTCATTTCTTATTATTTTTCAGGGTTTTTAGGTACCCCATAAATTTCCTAACACCAGGCGTAACTGTAAGTTTCCTAAGATTCAATAACTATTAATTGAATAAAAAATAAATACATCAATTTCAAAAAAGCAATATATAATAGAAAATTAAAAAATATAGCAGAAAATTCATAAAAAATCTCATTTTTTATGCATTTTGATTTTTTGAGTTTGTTAAATTTTGTGTATTACTCAATTAATAGTTATTAGATCTTAAGAAAATAAAAAAGAATTAAAACATGATGTTTATGACGGAGAAATAGCAATATAATAAAAAGTGGCACAGAGAGTGGCACAGAGTGTGGGACAGAAGATCCGCTGCGCAACATAACTTAGATTTTTTGCCAAAAATGTGAATAACATTTTTTGCATTTGGTCTTGAATAAAGAAAAAGACTTTTTTTTAAACCTGGCAAAATTCCAAGTGTGGAGTAGCATAACATTACTTAAATGTTACTTCATGCTGCACCAACAAAAGCATTACCAGCATTAACTATTGAACGTAGGTCTCCACGGTGAAGTTCAAATTTCGGCCTTGTCCTCAATAGTTGCTTGTGGAGTCTTGGGGTTACTATGGCATAGGCAACGTACCAACAGAAAAAATGAACTTATGACCACATTTGAAGAAAATTGTATGGTTATCTAGAATTAGTTATACATGTATTCAATGATATTAAGTCTCAAAATTAGGCTGAACTCAGAGAGCTGGTTAAGGGTTCAATGCGCAACTTCTCATAATTAATATGAAATCTTATACACAATTTATACATTTTCTTTCAGAAAATATAATTGAGAATAACACTTTGGTGAAAAGGAAACAGTCTAATTAACATAAAGTATTACATACGATTTGATTAAGAATGTAAATTCTTTTTCAACAGGTTACCTCTTTGTAATTGGACAATTCTTTGCAATTATTTTACAACAGCACAGCTTCCCACGTACAATAATTTTAATTTTGACCAGGACAAGGCCTCCATCTTTTGCTCCAATGAAAAATGTTGGCAGATTTTAATCAGTAAAGGATCTCCGTTTGAATGGTTAAACAGCCTGAAGAATTCTCATTCATGTATCTGAATCAACAAGAAAAGTCTTCAATCATGCAAAATAACAACATAACTTTCAGCGCGTCAATGTTCTCTGCCGGGCCTTCATTCTTTGTTTAATTTCATCGATTGGACGCCTAATTGATATGATAGTTGGCAACTTGAATTAAACTAATGAATATGGACGCATTTGATCCAACATTCCGTTTTCTTGAACATGTTTATTTACTTTTCTATGTGATTAAACATTATCTATATAGGTATGACCAACACACTCAGATTAAACCTAAACAACATTATTGCTAAAATTTATAGATAAACACTGGAATCTAATTAAATAAACTCACCGTTAAATATACATGAACTCAAGATGTCTAATTCTTGAGACTGAAAAATTGATGGCTAAAAAATTAAACCAAGGCCTCATTGGCAACTGATAATATTCTGTTGTGTACCATGTTTTTAATGAAGATTTCTCGCCCCATCTTCCTTCGAAAACTTTGTATCATACATAGATGACATTTGTACTTGTCCTTTCGCTTTTCTTTTTTTTTGGTTTGACTTTACACACTCTTTACAATTTTAGGCAAGTGGGGCTGTATCTAACACAAAATATTGCACTTGAAAAGCGGTTACGTGACAAACTTTTTCTTTTTTTCCTTTCCTCTCTCTCTCTCTCTCTCTCTCTCTCTCTTAATAAATTTCTGTTCTCCCCAACTGCGGTCCTATAAAGTATATATAGTCCTCATCAGCTTTATACTTCAAACCACACCAACTTGTTCCATCTTGCTTCTCCTCCTTTGTTTCGCTTTTCCCCGTAACGAAACAATGGCAAAGAGTTTAGCCATAGCATCCCTCCAAATTCTCAGCCTACTTTTACTAGCAAGCTCGGGACAATCAAGGGCATTGTTCACAAATTTGACGGTGTACGTCCATGAATTTCGAAGTGGAGAAGGTCAGAGTATTTTCCCAGTTGCAGGTCTCTCCAACGTAACTTGGGGCTTTAACCAATTTGGAACTGTTTTTGTCGTTGATAATACCTTGACACAAAGCGTTTCAGTCAAATCCGCACTAGTTGGTTGTTTGCAGGGCATTGCTGCAGTAGCATCCCTTGATAACACCAACATAGAGCTTGCGGAAACGTTTCTGTTCACTGATGGAAAGTACAATGGCAGCACTCTGGAAATGAAAGGAATTCTTATACAGTCTATGCATGTCAATGAAGTTGCAATTGTGGGAGGAACCAAACAATTTCGGCATGCAACGGGGTATATTACCTTTGAGACTGTCCGCACAACAGAAGATTATATTACTGTAAGGTCGAACCTCCACATTAGACAGGACATATAGGATGACTACCCTGGTATCGCTCTTCATTAATAACTGATGCAAATAAACTTGACCCTGGGCCCTATAAGTCATCAGGTCAAGAATTTCTTCATGTATGTATTATTAAAATGTATGCTGTGAGCTGTATTCACTCTATCAATAAAACAGTATGATTAGCAATACTTTTGAATAATTTGGTGTAACTATTGCTAGATCTTTCCTCGTACAATCCAAGGCAAGAATGTGTTCTAAGTTTCTTTTTCTTTACTAATTAAAATCTGAATAGTCTAGCTCAAAAATTTTTTGAATAATCTACATACGATTATAGTTGTTCACCTAGTTATTCAATATAAAGGATCTTTTTTGCTCTTCTTTTCCAGGTAGACTTGAGACTTTTATTATGTTTACCATAAAAAATTTAATAATACTGCAAATTTGTGTCGAATGTTTGTATTCTCAATAATTTAGTGATTTAAATGAATTTTGTTAATATTAGAACCAAGTAGTAACAAACCACCTACGGCATTCAAGTTGAAAGTTTATAGAAGCAGAGAATATATTAATGAAATGAAAAGCACTACTGGACTTATTGTGATGCAGATAAATGGTACCCAAGAGTCAAGATTGATGCTAAAACTTGTCAAAAATGGATGCTGTAGTTACATCAAGATGTAACCCATGGATGCGAAGGAAAAAAAATTTGATTCAACGATCTTATTAATTTGCTTCCGACAGTGTCTTGCTTCCGTTAATTGAGATGTAAATAGTATGAATAATTCCAGAGAGCATGGTATGAGTTGTAAAATTATTTTCCCCTTGAGCAAAAAATAGATTCTTTCGCCAACAATTTCAATAACAATTTTTATCCCAGATCTTGAATAAATGAAATATATATATATATATATATATATATATATATATATATATATTTACCTTGCAAAATTCCAAGTGTTGAGTAGCATAATTATTGCTTAACTATTTTCCTATCAGACAACAAAAAACATTACCAGCATTAACTATTGTACATAGGTCTCGATCGTGAAGTTCAAAGCTCGGCCTTATCCTCAACAGGTTCTTGTGGCTCCATTTGAAAGGCAACGCATAGTTTGTTGGATAGAAGAATATTTTGAGTTTCTCATTCATTGATTTCTTTTTCCGTTAATTATCTTGGAATTTACAGGACTTATTTATATTTGTAAATACATCATTCTAGATTCATTGGAGTACATGAAAGTAGTCTAAACAAGTCACTTACCAACTAACTCATTAACTTGATTTGCCAACGAACTAATTAATTAAACACATTATTCAACACATTCCCCCCCCCCCAATGTGCTATTTTTGAACTCTAAGCTTTTCTCGAAATAGTTGAACTTGTTTTTTGGAAGTGCAATGGTAAAGATATCTGCAACTTGGTTTTGACTCTTACAAAATATCAGTTCAATTTCGCCATCTTCAATTGCATCATGAATGAAATGATGCATGATAGCAAAGTGGCGAGTTCTACTATCATAGATTGAATTTTTGGCAATGTCGATGGCTGATTTACTATTGTGAAATATAACTGTAGTTTTCTATTGCTTTCAGTACCAATGTATTCAAGAATTTTTCCAAACCAAATGACTTGTGATGTTGCCAATCTTGTGGACATATATTCAGCTACAATGAATTATTGTGCCATACATCATTGCTTCTTTGATACCTGATAAAATACTCTCGAATCAAGTGAAAAATAATAGTTTGAGGTGCTCTTCATATCATCAACACAACCCCTCCAATCACTATCACAATAACCACACAAATTTGTGGAAGCTCCTTTGCTAAATTTGATACCATAGTTGAGTGTCTCTTTGTTGTGTCTTAACATTCTCTTAGTTAATCCAAGATGTAATTGACTAGGATTGTACATAAACCTTGATAATAAGTTTGAAGCAAACATGATGTTCGACCTTGTAACTGTGAGGTAAAGCAAATTTCCCACCAAGCTTCTATACAAAGTGAAATCAGCTCTCTTTTCTCCATTTTCTTTAACAAGTTTTTCACTCACAACAAGTGGTGTAACCATAGGTTTGCAATCAGACATGCTGAGTTTCACAAGAATATTTTCAACATATTTCTTGACAAACAAACACTCCATTATCATATTGATAATTCTCCATGCCAAGAAAATGATATAGCAGTCCTACATCATTCATTTCATATCTTTTCATCATGCCTTTCTTAAGATCAGTCATCTTTTCATTGTTACTGGTGTAAAGAAAATCATCAATATATGAAGCAACAATGAGAATGTCTGAGTTACCTTGAGACTTCACATACAATGTTGACTCACTTTTGCTCTTCTTGAATCCTTACTCCATGAAGCAAAAATCAACTTAGCTATACCAAACCCTAGGAGCTTGTGTCAATTCGTACAATACTTTATTCAACTTATACACTTTGTTTTCTTCTCCTTCTTTGATAAAGTCTTGAGGTTGTTGAACATGGCACTTTTTCCTTCAATTCTCCATTCAAAAATGCAGATTTGATATCAATTTGATAGAGATTCCAACCTTTTTGGGCTACCATGTCAATAAAAGTTCTAGTTGTATCAAATTTTGCAATCAGTGCAAAAGTGTCATTGTAGTCAATTCCAAACTATAGCGAATAACCCTTTGCAACAAATCTTGCATTCTTCTTTTGGATTGAGCCATCCGGATTTAGTTTGACTTTGTGAACCCACTTGACACCAACGATTTTCTTGTCTTGAATTTGTTCAACTAACTTCCAAGTCCTGTTCTTTTCAATTGCATGAATCTTCTCTTCCATTGCCTTCCTCCAATGATTTTCTCCATATGCTTCTTCAAAATTTCTGATTCAAGAATGCAAAAGTTACATCTTGCATAAAACATCACTCAAACTCCTCATTTGATAAATAAATAAATAAATAGACAAAAGTAAACTGTGCATGGAAAATTACCATTTTCTACTAATTTAAGTAGCTGTTGGTGCATGTGCTTACATAGGCATTAAGAGTGTCTATCTAGTCATGGTGGCTTCTTCTGGCTTTCACTGCCAAATAAAAAAATTAAAAACAAAGAATGTTATAGAATATGCGGTATTGTCTATTTATATCAGCTATGATTCAAGTGATCTTGTTAAGAATCTAATGAATTATGGGAGTAAACCCAACTAATCAGACATATAATACCCTGTCAGAGGACATGTTCATTGGTCTCACGTACTTAAATAAGTGTGAAGTTCTCAAGGGAAATATTTGATCAGATACATCATCCATGGCGCCTGAGAAAGCGTCTCCAGCCACCCCATCTTCTTGATCCTTGACAGTTGATTATAAATGTTTATTTGGTAACTTTCTTTTATAGGGCACGTGGGTCCATATCAAATATGACAACGCAATTGCAAAGAGGTTGTCTCGCCAAATTTTTTATTTTGAGAACGTTCGATTTTTTAAAAGTTAAAAAAAAAAGAAAATTAATTTGCTCAACTCATCCGATTCCTGTCAATACATATGATGGCCGAGTTAGGATCTTTATTTAGGGGATGCAATAATTTTATGTTTGATAAGTGACTAATTTACGCTATATTTGAATAATATTTTATGTTATTTTTAGTCACTTTGGCAATATTGTAGGAAGAAAATGGATCATTTTGTCTATAATTAGTGTAAAATACTCTTAAGTGATTAAATGAGATTTATGTCACTTTTTACTTGCATTTTGTCCATAATTTGTATAGGAGCTGGAAATATACTTCATTTGGATGAAAAAGGAAGTTGACAGTTTTGACACATTTTTGTATTTCGGCTATAACTTGAGTTACAATGATCGGATTGAGATGATTCTAAACCATTTTGAAGATAAGAGATAGATCTACAATTCATGTGAAGACATCGAAATCCAGTTTGAAGGTTTTCCAGGTCAAAAAGCTGAATTACAGTAGCTAATTTTCTATGGTCGAAGCCGAGACAAGGCAGTAAGCAGTCAAGGGTATTTCTATCATTTCTCTGCCTACACAAATCCAAATGAGGTGATTCTCAATGAAGTGGAAAGCTAACTTAAAGGGCTACAAGTTTCATGTTTTGGTCAAGAGTTAATTCAACTTCTATCATCAAGAAAAGTTCAGTTGAAATTGAGACAAAATTGGAGCAACATTGAAGATTGGACAGAAATTGCTAAGAATGGCAAGGGAGCAATCCTGCCAGATTCTGGCCGGATTTGTGGCCGGATTCTGGTCAGAAATGGCTGCTCCCCACTTGTACAACTTGTTTCCTCCTCCAATAATTCACAGTTATTGATGAACGTGTGACACCAACTTTGCAGCTATAAAAGTGATGTTTGAAGTCTCATTTCTTGACTAAATCATCTATAAATAGCCATGGACTTGCAAAGACAAAGGAGCTTGGAGAGTACAAGAAATACCATAAAAATGTAGTTCTTACATTCTCTTAGTGTTAGGTTAGTATAGTATAGGATAGTTTAACTAGTAGTTCATCCTTCTTGTTTATTAGCTAGGCAAAGATGAAGATGGAGATGAAGAAGGCAAGGAAAGAACTCATGTGACAAGGGTTACTTTACCTTTCCAACTCTTTATCTTTTGTACTTGATTCTAAGTTTAGTTAATATACAAGTTTTAGATGTTATGTTTATTATGTGTCTTTAAAGTTTATGCCTTGGGTTTGGTTGAACTTTCTATGATTGTTTGTGTTTATTATTTGGCTATTTGATGCTATTATTTTAAGCAAGTTATTTAGTATTTTAACTCTTTAAATCATAATTAACTTGGTACCATTAATTGTGATTATCTAAAGGTGTTGTTTCTTCAATGAAAATTGAGATTTAACACTAGTTCAAGAAGTGCTAAACCTAGGGAGTACACTCACGAGAATAGAGGTGCACCTATGTGGTTTTAGTGATTCATTTCATGTAATTTCATAGAAGAAATGAACTTATAACTAATTTCATAACCAGGAGAGTAGGTATGAATTAGCTATAAGTATAGTTGATTCAGTACGAAAGTAG